GCCTCCGGGACAATGACTTATATGCCAAACCGGAGAAATGCTTCTTTGAACAGTCCTCAATTGAGTATCTTGGCATGATCATCAGCAAGAACTCAGTACAGATGGACCCTGCTAAAGTCGAAGGTGTACTTGGCTGGCCCGCACTGACAAAGGTCAAATAAGTACAGGCCTTTTTAGGATTCGTGAATTTCTACAGGCGATTTATAAAGGACTTTGCGAAACTCGCATGACCTTTAACGCTTCTCACCTGTAAGGACGTGCCCTGGCAATGGAAGGAAGAGCAAGACCAAGGCTTCAGTGCACTTAAAACGGCGTTCACTTCAGCCCCGATCCTACAACTCCCCAACGACACTGCACCATACCGTCTAGAGACAGACTCCTCAGACTATGCAACTGGTGCAGTACTCGAACAACTAGGGGAGGACAAGCTATGGCATCCAGTCGCATACTACTCTAAGTCACTCAACGAACATGAGCGGAACTATGAGATTTATGACAAGGAGATGCTTGCTATTATTCGGGCACTTGAAGAATACCGGCACTATTTAGAAGGACATCCAGAACCCATTGAGATTTGGTCGGACCATCTCAACCTTACATACTTCCGTCAGGCACAGAAATTATCCTGGCGCCAAGCGTGCTGGTCATTATTCCTCACCAGATTTAATTTCATTCTCAGTCACCGACCTGGAAAGACTATGCTACATGCCGATCCTCTGTCCAGGAGGTCAGACCATGAGAGGGGGGTAGACAGCGACAATTCGAATCAAATGCTGTTAAAACCCGAATTTTTCGCTATCAATGCGATTCAACCCACTCACGCATCTGAAGTTGATGATGCTCAACTACTGGAAAGGATCAAGAAGGCACTCACAGACAACACGATGACCAAGGATTATCGTGCGCTTTTGACTACAGGACAGCGTGAATTTGGGAAAAACCTCGCAGAATGGAACTTTGAGCACGGACTGTTGCTCCATCGTGGAAAGGTTTATGTCCCCAAGGATCAACAGCTACGCCTTGACCTAATAAAACTCCATCACGACACCTTACCAGCCGGACACCCCGGCAGGTTCAAGACGTTGGAGCTTATTACTCGGAATTATTGGTGGCCAGGAATGTCTGTAATGGTTAAACAATACGTACAAGGTTGCGACAGTTGTCAACGCAACAAGTACTCAAGAGAAAAACCATACGGACTACTACAACTGAATGAGGTACCAGGAGGACCATGGGAGATCGTCACAGTAGATCTCATCACACAACTTCCTCCAGCCATGGACTTTAGGGGAGAGAAGAAGACGGCAATACTTGTCGTCGTGGACAGACTCACGAAGCGAGCGCACTTTTATGCAACGGATGATACAGTCACATCGTCGCAAGTCGCTAATGTATTCTATAATGAAGTCTTCAAACTCCACGGATTGCCGCGCCAAATTATCTCAGACAGAGGTACTCAATTTGTGAGTAAACTATTCCAGGAGTTTTGCCAGAAGCTCGGTATAAAGTCAACAATGTCCACTGCATATCACCCCCAGACAGACGGTCAGACAGAAAGGGTTAACCAGGTGTTGGAACAGTATCTGCGAATGTACTGTAACCATAGACAGAACGATTGGGTCTATTATCTGCCGACAGCAGAATTTTCATACAACAACCAGACCCATGAATCCACTGCACTTTCCCCATTCTTTGTCGAATATGGCCGACATCCAAAAATGGCACCAGACGTACACGAATCAATATGTCATCCCTCATTGGAACATCTATTCGCCCACCGATCCGAGGCACAAGAACAGGCAAAGGCAGCATTGGAAGTTTCAGCTTCATGAATGAAATGGTACTTCGATGAGAAAAAGGGAGAAGTCCCATTCAAAGTCGGAGATCTAGTTTTACTCAAGGGAAAGGATCTCAGAGTAAAAGTCAAGTCTACGAAGCTAGGCACACAAAACTTCGGACCTTACAAAGTACTTCAGAAGCTAGGCCCAGTCACATTTAAACTGGAACTGCCTAAGCAAATGAAGGTCCACCCAGTCTTCCATGCTAGCAAGTTGATCATGTACCACCAAGACGCGGTCGCAAACCGTGAACCCCCAAAGCCCCCAGCCATAGAAATCGAAGGAGAACCAGAATTCGAAGTTGAGGAAATACTAGACTTGAAGGTTGTAAGGGGAAGGGTCCAATACCTCGTCAAATGGAAAGGCTATGATCATTCCGACGATACATGGGAACCCCGAACAAATCTTACCAATGCCGATGAACTTCTTCACGAATTCCACCAGCAACACCCAGATGCAGCCAAAGCACCAATCAGGGTCGTCACTTTTGGTGGAAAACGCTTCGAATTATCCTCATATGAAGTTGCACCGATCTCCACACACCGAATCAATATGTCCGACCATCCAGACGAGTTCTTCCTATATCATAAGATGACAGATCTCGCCAAATCACCGAAAAAATCCTCAAATGAAGCAGCAGGATGGGATATTTATGCAGCAGAAA